CTATACGGGGCCCTTTTATATCACTACGCATGGCGACAAGATCCACATGGCATCGTATTGTCATGGGCAAAGGAATGCTACAAGGGCATCAAAGAGGTACGACTTGTGCGACTACTGTGATAGGGCTCGCGGTCTTTATGTTCTTGTACCTCCAGTAGACGATTAGTGTACTGCCGAACGTGATGCTCCATGTAAAGGCGTCTCTAGGCTTGTGTCAAGAGACGAGGAGGAGTGCAGAAGATCAGTTCGCGCAGTGGCCGTTGTCGTCTGACTCACATGTGCACAGATGCTGTGAGTGAACTGAAGACGGACCGAAACTTGGCTCAAGAAAAATAGGAGCGAATCGCTTCACCTCAATTCGATAATCCCATGGAACAGGATACAGCCGACGGACCCTTCAACGATCTCCCTGCTGCTTATCAGCAGGTGATGAGCCCAACTAGCCGTCCTGCGCAGGTACCAGGAGGAACTACGGATGATGCGAGGCCGAACGGAGTTTCCCGTGAGGTCAGGCATGGTACTGCAGCAGAACCAGACTATGAACAAGCCGTGAGGGCTTCCGCACGTGGAGCGTCGAGCGAAGCCGGACATGGTACGTCGCAAGCGAACGTTACGTTAGAAAGCACCGGAAGACTTACTGGAAGCGGTGATGCCGAAGGTGGAGCAGGTGTTATGAGACAGCAAGATGAACAGCATGGGGGACGGATGGCAAGGTCCGGGATAGAGTTTTTCAGGTCACCAGGTGACAATGGGCGTGGGAGAAATGATCGGCCGCTTTTTTCACATGGAGCGCGGCCTTTTACAGGAACCTCAGAGGGCACCGACCAAGGTGCCATGTGGCCTTCTCCTTTGCCGTCACCTGCCAGATCTGTCAATGGAGACGAGGTTGTAACAACAGCTGTTAACAATCCGTTGGCTCAGCAGGGCATGAAGTGGTTGTCTAAGCTGGGTGAGTTTGTTCAGAGGAAAGTATCGCAGCAATCGCGCCCTGGCGAGCAGACGACGGTGGTTCAGGAGACAGTGTGGACCCCGACTCGAGGATCCCGAAGAGAAACTGAGCCGCTGTTTGACAGGTCGCAGGCACATAGACTGCAAGAGATGGCGCTGGCGGCACCGCAGTTATATGGCTCGGTGCAGCGAGCCAGTGGAGGCTCGGAATCGTCGAGGTCGTTCACCAAGGAGCAGCTGGAGAACGAGGTCAAAAAACAAGTGGATCGAGCCTTGGAACAGCAGCGTGGTGTTACCGAGGAAAATGAGCGGCTGAAGCTGGAAGTGGAAAGACTGAAGGCTGAGGCGGCGACCAACAAGATGTCCTCGACGGCGCCATCACCTAAGCTTCCCTCGCAAGGACCTCCTCGCGATCAACAGATCCACCAGCAGGCGGAGCAGTTCAGAGAGATGCTCGAAGGTAATCCTGCGGGACTTCCTGGACACGGTCGTGAGCAAGGGGGTACAAGTGGAAGAAATGTTCAGGGACATGATCGTGGCGGCGATCCAGTTGGACTTTGGGGTGCAGATAAAGGGCTTAGAGATGATCGGGCTTTGGGCCTTCATGGGGTACCTCAAGGAAATCCACCTGGACTACTAGGACATGGGCCTGAGCAAGGACGTGATGATGAACCTCTACCTCATGATGCTAGTGTATCAGGAGGAATTCTAGAAGGACTTCAGGGGCAGGATGTTCGTGGAGGTGTAGTCTTCACTCAACAT